TCACCAACTCGGGCTCAGTAAATCCTTAGGTCGCGCGGCAGATTTACGAACTCATGGTTGTGCTCGCTTCACATAAAAAGTATTGTAATCTAGCTCTCTCACCTTATTCACAACACCTTGGCAGGTCCGACCCTTCTTCAGTGCATGGCTGTAATGAACAGCTGTTTGATGTTTTAGTAAAATTTAGATAAATTCCATTGTAGGTATAGTGACAATAACACTGACCAGAAAGCTGCGGATTGAGTTGAGTAAAACTTGAAGTTTTACTTGTATTTTTCAGGTAGTATCCCTCTCAATCCTCTGTTTCTGATTCCATTGTATTGTCTTTCTTTTTTAAAATATTGTTGATTAGATATTAATAATGCTTATGATTTGGAATCTGTGACAGTATTTTGGTTATTAGTAGGAGAAGAAATGGGGGAAATTAAGTTTCCTTTTCCCAGGCCGGAGTAGACTACCTGAAGGGGAGACATAGTTCTCAGAGCGTCTTCGTAGACAGATAAGAGCAGACAGATATCACCAATTTTTTACCAAAAATGTCTTTTATTCAAAGTCTGAATTGCAAATTTGAAAATAAACATTGTAAATAGGTTCAGTTATGATATACAAGTCATTTTGAACAACTTTGAACCTCCACACAACATGTAAGGCGACATTTTCATACAAATCACCTAAACTTGAAAACTGAGTGTCTGCCAACAATTAATCAGATGTCATTTACAATCCATCTAAATCCTCGCCCATCCAGACTTCTGTACATGCTTTTTGTATTTTTTATTGTTTTATGTTGTGCTTACAACCATTCTTTTTAGGTTTTGTGCAAGAGTTATACTAAAGATTTGCGAGGGTCAAAATCGGTGACACTCCCGTGACACTGCCCCTAGCGTACCAGCAGTGCATCTTTCCCCTCCCATCCCCTGGCTTTCAGAATGTTTTCATTGCAGTTTATCGAATGCAGTTTATAAACTGCCACAATAGTCTGTACGGTATATATAAACCACGGCAATAACTACATGCATTGTATGTTGTTCATGTAATTGGTCGTATCCTAAAAAATTGATACAAAATATTATTATCGTACTTTATCAAAATTTACAACTTCCAAATAAGTCTGATCAAACTTTGAAACTTCATCGAATCATAACCTGCGACGCAGACTCTTTTTTTTCTCATAATTGATGTGATTGATGAAAAAATTGAAATAATTTTGCACCAATATGCCGGGCAGTTACATTTAGTCTGCAGCCCAATCCCCCGGGCAGTCTTGGGCAGTAATTAGTAGGACCCGTCGCAGGTTAATCAAATCGTTGCATGTTTATTTTTCAGGCTAGACAAAGAGGTTCCATTTACTTAAATTAAACGTGTAATTTATAATTTTTTATTGATTTATCATAACACAAGTTCTTTCTTTACTAAAACCAAAAATGTTAATAAATCGCAACAAGCAATCTACGAGTTTAAATATAAATTATGATACGGACAATCAATACACAGGAGTATTTTGCGGGGAGGAATAGAGGTGGGGGTGGGAAATTCCCCCCCAAAAATCCCGAATCCCCCAAATCTGAAAATAGCTAAAGTCTGAAAATAGCTAAATTCTGGGGAGCATTTCCCTCCAAAATGGGGGAATGAATCTATTGAATATCATTATTAATATTAAACTGGTAAATGGTAACTAAAGGCATATAACCTTGAGTATAAAAATGAATTTAATCACTTAGAGGTGCAGTTGGTGAATTAATCCAGATGTCATTTCTATCCCCTCACTTGGAAATAGGTAAGCGTAGGAAATGACGTCTGGGCTTGTGACTATGAGGGGGAATTCCCTCCCCACCCCCCAAAGTAAAAAACCCCTGAAATTTGGGGGGAGCTCCCATCCAAGTCCCATGTGTCCTGATACATGTACATACATGTAATTGTAATAAATAATAAATGATCGGTTTAACAACCGATATTAAGAATTCCTACGCTTCAAAAACGAAACAACAGCATTCTCATATAAAAAAATCACATTTTTGTACAAATTACGACCAATTAATACAGAAGGGGGAGTATATAAGATTCATTTCTAATTACTAATTACTTATTCTAATTACTATTTACTTATTACTTTAACAGTACTTCGTAACTAAGTCAGGCCTATCTACAGCTGGATGAACAAAGCCTGCCGCTAGGACACCATAGGTCGCTTTCGATACCTTTATTTGTGTCCATTTGATCAGCATCTCGTAGCATTTGTTGTAAATCTTGTTAGAATTATCTGCGTTTATAATTTTTAAAGTACTGTCCGAGTGTCCAAGTACCCTGCCAAGTTCTTCCCACACATCCGTGATATCTTTAGCTATATACATGATATCTTCTCTTGTGACTTGTTTAGAAGGGTCTTTGGTACCTTTAGCAATTTACAGTTATTAGTGAGTATTAGTAAACATTATTACCTAACATCATTAAAGTTGTAGTATTGGAAACTGAACATCGTAGTATTGTTATACCCTGAATAATAAGATTGAAATTTGTCTTTTGCTATGTTGATCTCTAATGCCCTCAAAACCACATACTCTTTTATATTGCTGGTTTACTTAAAATACATTGAGCAAATAAATGTACAGTACAGTACTTTTAAAGAATATTAATAGTATATTTTCACAAAACATTTTTGAAAAATACTGATAAACTTACCAAGGACACCACTTTCTATTTGATCAGGAACACCAGGCGGTGAAAAAGTAGGCTTTGTAACTATAAGATAATATCTGATATTAGCCCAATTGGGTTCGACTATATAGGTTCACCTGGAAAAGATTAAACGCACTTCGATGTTTCGAGCGAATGCCCTTCATTCGGAAGTTACTGTACAAGTGTTTTTATCTTTCACTGGTACACCATCCAAACACACCCGAACAAAATCTTGTTGCAGATACTCATAAACTGGACTTCTACATTTGAGATTTAATCCTAGGCAAGACACATTCATAGAAAAAGAGTTGTCAGCGCGCGGGATTCACCACACAACGCAACCTAACCTGCCAACAAGCACCTGATCTGCAGAACTAGGGCAAAAGATCTGTCACACTAGGGCAAAAGTACAGTGTACTCCTGTCAATATTTCATGATGTTAAGTGCATTATATTTCAAGAAGCAATAAATCTTACCCTTTCCTGTATGGAGATGATCTAATATCTCTGAAAGAAGCACACCTTTATTCCAGTTACTCTCACTGTATGACAGCACACCCTTGCTGTGCAACGCAACCAGTGACAATTTAGATTTGTTTAACACAAAGACAGGGGATCCAGAGGATCCCCGCAGTGTATCAGCATAGTATTCTATAAATGGTTTGTTCACACGCCTGACTGTGTCCTGACTCAAATGTTTCTTCATTCCTTCTGGATGTTGAATGATGTACACTGTATCCTGCATCCTGACCATCGGTAGCTTGGTGATATCAGCCAAAATTGGTTTCACACCTATACTGGCTATAGATCGCTGTAGGTTTTCATTAATCCGAATCAATACGTAATCAAGATCCTTTAAACAAGAAGTTAACCAGAACTTTATCAAACTCATAAATGGATACAGATAATTCAAAAGGAATGAATACTTCATTTAGTCCATGGGATTCGCAACAAATAAGTCGTTTTGAGTCTCTCAAAAAGGGACCAAAAATCGTTGCAATTTTAATAACATTTATTGTATGGAGAGTTCGAAAAAAGCAGGTAACAAGTTCGGATACCCGGCTATCATGTCGTATCATGACATTTTAAATGCAATGTATTGGTAAGTGACAAGATTAATACATTATAAGGTTTCAAAACGGAACTAGTTAAATAATTATTATTCTTTATTTTTCCAAGCCTGTGTCTCATTGCTTTGACATGAACCTTTTAAAAATATCTCTCGGGAAACTATATGTATCGAAATACCAATGGTTAACCGTAACGTCTTTGGGGTGATT